CTGTAAGGATAAAGAAGGTAATTTAGGTAAAAAGCTTAATACTAACTCCCTAAATGGTAGTTACTATTGCTATTATTTTTGAATTATGTTTATTGCTATTGTTATAACTATATGAAACTTAAGTATAAAAAAGCAAGACTTGAAAAATGCTTGTCTATGAGAAGAGAGGGGCAGAAACTATCAAAACAAGATCCTAGAGCCGGCTCAGTGGCTCACACCTCTAATCCCAATGCTTTGGGAGGCCAAGGCAAGAAGATTGCTTGCATCTAGGAGTTTGAGACCAGCCTGGGTAAGATAGCAACCCCGTCTCTACAAAAATAAAAATAAAAAAACTAGCCAATCTTGGCGGGATGTACCTGTGGTCCTAGCTACTCAAGAGGCTAGTGGGAAGACTGCTTGCGCCCAGGAGTTTGAGGCTGCAGTGAGCTATGGTTGCACCACTGCACTTGGCAGCCTGGATGATAGAACAAGACCCCTTCTCTGAAAAAAAGCAAAAACAAAAACACGAAACCAAAACATGACCCTAAGGATTTGGAGATGGAGGTGCCATTGGATAAAGAATAAGGCTGAGATCTGGGACACTTTAGTCCCCTGTGGATCCTTTCCTCCAGCTTTGTGCTCTAAGCCTGCCCAGCTTCTTCAACTGCCAGAAACCCCTTCTGTTTCCCCAGCAATTTCCTACCCATCTCTCTAAGCCCAAGTCAAATGGCACCCCCATCCTAGAGGCTTTTTCCTCTCATCAGTCAGAATGCATGAGTGTTTCCTGCGTGTTCTCGGAACATGCTACTTGTGTTTGACAATGCAAATACTTGTGTGTCTGTCTGCCTCACTAGATTCTTTTGGGTTCCTCATACTTAGTGAGTGCTCAAGAAGCATTTATTGAGATAAAATGTGACACATAGTGAGTTTAAAGTTTACTATACATACATTTTTTCCATAGATGTTAGGGTTAGCCTCAAGCCCCAGATGTGCAAAGAAGTAAATTTACTTTTCTATAAGTCTCATTCATCTCTCTCAGGGTGACAGATAATTAGTAGTAGTTAGGGGTATCTCCTGCTTTCCCCCATGTTGCCTATAAGTGCAAGAGGGCTCACTAGAGCCCTGTCTTCAATCTACACAGCTCATGGCTGAGTTGTCCCTGTCCCTTGAGACTTCTCTATGCCTCTGGGGCTCAAAGGAACTCATTCTACTGCCTCTGTGCTGTTTGGACTCAGCTGCTCAGACACTTTCACAGACATAACTGCTCTGGGCTATGCTGTCTTTTGGGTCTACAAGAGGACAGGGCACCCTTTTCCCTAAGCTTCCCCAAACCCATCAGTTCATCAGTGGTTTCTGCTGTCATTTCCCACCATTGCTCCCCGAGGCCAAGTCAGAAAAGGCAGGCTGCTCGTGCTTTAATCCCAGCACTGTGGGAGGCCAAGCTGGGCAGATCACTTGAGGTCAGGAGTTTGAGGCCAGCCTGGCTAACACAGTGAAGCCCCATCTCTACTACAAATACAAAAATTAGCCAAGCATGATGGCATGTGCCTGTAATCCCAGCTACTTGGGAGACTGAGGCAGGAGAATCGCTTGAATCTGGGAGGCAGAGGTTGCAGTGAGCTGAGATGCACTGCACTCCAGCCCGGGTGACAGAGCAAGACTCTAAATAAATAAATAAATAAATAGATAAATAAATACATAAATAAATAAATAGGCAGACAGAGCTCAGGCTTCCTTTCTCAGGGAGCTACCTGCTAATGATTTTTATCATTGTCTCCCTCCCCAGCCTGGACTTTCCTTCTCCCTTCAAAGCGGAAAACTTTCACATTGGCCCAAGAGTGGGAAAACTTGCTCTGATGCATATGTCAAGTTTTTTTTCTGTGCCCTAGGGGTTCCTCCAAGGCCTGGACTTCCAAATGTGAAAAGCCTTTCTCCCTCTTACTAAAGTACTGAATGTCCTCTAGTCAAGCTGCCCAATTAAAGGAAAAGTGGAGGGGGTAATGGGAAATACTGTGGTGGGAGAATCTTTAATATTTCCACCATGCAGGCATCTGGTGATGTGGAACTCATGGTAGAGAATCGCAAATGTAAATTTGGGAATCAAAAACTTATCCTCGCAATAACCAAAGCTAAGAATGAATCTCCATGCATGTCCAAGGGGAAAAAGAAATCAATCAAGTAGTTTTTTGAATTAAGCACTGTGCTAATTACCCCTAGGGGACAGACAGGAAGCTTGCAATTTAGTTATAAGAACCTTTTGCAATCTGGCCCCAGGCTCCCTCTGTAGTCTCTTTTCTCACCACTGCCTTCCTTGACAGCACTCTTCTCAGCCCTCTGCCTTTGCCAGCCTGTTCCCTGAGGCTAGAATGCCTGTGCTTTTCTCTCCCTTGTCTTCCCCAGCCCGCAAACTCATCCTTAAAGGAGATCAAATGTCTTCTCTTGAAAGCTTTCCTGATGCCTGTGGCAGTTTGGTAGCTCTCTCCCTCCAGGCCTGCATTATATCAGCAACCACTGACCTGTGAAGCATCTGAGGGTGAGGACTGTATCTATCCCCAGCACCTAGTACACAGAGCTTGGTACACAGTAGATACTCCGTAAATATTTGCTGACTGCATAAAGGAATAAAATATACACTCAAAGCTATAAGTGACAGAACAATGATACCTGAGCAGTCAACAACGGTAACAATAAACAAAGTAACTAGTGGCCATTTTTCTTATAGTCCAGATACTGTTCCCCACCCCCACGTGGAGAACCGGAGTTTCACTCTTGTCACCCAGTACAGTGGCACGATCTTGGCTCACTGCAACCTCTGCCTCCCGGATGTAAGCGATTCTCCTGCCTCAGCCTCCGGAGTAGCTGGGATTACAGGCGCATGCCACAACGCCCAGCT